AAAGTCTTTATTGTATATCACGAATATTAGCAAAAGAAACAAAAGAATCAAATATTATATTTATCAAAAGAGTAGAATATTTACAAGGTTTTTTTTTTTTCTGAAATCTTCAGAGTATAATTTATTTTTGTTCAAATCTAATACAAATATAATTCTTTTTTTTTTTTTTACAAAATTCCTTAAATACTAATAACAATTAAAAGTAATCTCCCAACGCACCACACCGAGGCAGCGTACCCAAGATACTGGCAGCATTACCTCTTTGGATTGCCAAACTTATCTTTTGGGCAAAGTAGCTACCAGCTCTTGGGTCACCAGTAACCTCGATGAGGCGCGCTGCGATCGTCCGATAAAAATTCTTTGCATCTGGGCCCCACGGGCCCATCGTCTCTACAGCAAATGGCAGAAAACAATAAGACCCCTCCAGATGTGAGTATTTACGCCTCTTTATTGCTTCCGCTGTCACCGCCGCAGCACCCGAACAAGAGGACGATTTAGATAAATGGCTTGGAGCTAACGTGTCTACACATGTCGCATCCCACACCAAGCATTTCCCCATTTTCCAAGGAACCAAAGTTACGCCATCAGGTCGTTTCCCATCCTCACGGAAAATGCCATTTGGTTCCAAAATCGCTGGTATTTGTGTCATCACAAGTGCCCTATGAATAATGTTATTGATCATGGCATGGCGAGGTATTCGACCTGCACTTCTCACACAGGACAGACCATGGTATCCCAGCTCTTCAACTGAGGCTCCACAGCTACAACGATGGGGCTGAACTATTTTTACACCCAACCGCAAACCTATTAATAATGTAAAGGAGCAATCGTCGAGAAGCGTTCCAGTATTAGTTGACGGGAATGCCTGCAACCAATATCCCGATTCCCTTTCAGCTACTGCTTGAAGACGGGCACGAGTTTCAGCGGATTCACAATGGGTTACAAGGTTCTGCTGTGTTTTAATACAGAGTGGTTCATCCCACTGCCTTTGTGAGTGACATATATTAGGCATATCAGATGAAGGACATTGCAACTGCCAAGCATTCACAGCCTCGCCCACTCCCCAAATCTCTACGGAACCCGAACTAGGGTTAATGATTTTTCCGCAAAGAGGGTTTGAAGCATGGACTGACGCCAAAAATGCCGGAAGAGCAACAGATGAAACTTTTCTTACGCCTAATCCTCCACGACGCACTGGTAATGTGGCTTGATTCCAAGCATCATCAACCAACTGACAATTTAGAATTTTGATTAGAGTTTCCTTTAATATCATATCTAGTTTCATCAATTGTTCTGGAAACTTCCAAAGCATTGAACTTCTCATAGCATATGTAAATTTAGGCACAAATAGACACCACCTCATCACAAATAATGCCATGTGTGTATTTATATGAAACAAACGTTCAGAAGACCGGTGAAACTTTTTAATTTGCTCATCCACGTATGCTGGAATAGATTCGTTCATGAGAGGAACACCTAATAAATTAAAGGACTCGATGGCTACTATTTTAATTCCAGGAGCCAGAGAATCAAATCTAGCAATAATATCATGTTTGTCTGCCTCTGACATCGAACCTTTAATATAAAGTTCACATTTGTCAAAATTCAGTTGCAAACCTATTCCAGCTAGATCATTTATCAAAATTTCCAAATCCGATAAAACGACTGATGCGTTTCCCCCTAGCGAGCCATCATCCAAATACCAAATATTTAGAGGTGAAAGAAGTTTCTTGATTATAGAATTTATAGCTAAACTAAAAATAACAGGACCCATTGGATCGCCCTGTTGACATCCTACAGAAGACTTTATGGGATGATTGTTATATACTAATATTGATGGCGAGCCATAACATTGTTTTAGAAACGGTAATACCTCTGGAACAATCCTTTCAACTTCCGCTAAAAAGGAACGTCTATCAATGGAATTAAAGGCATTCTTTACGTCTACCTTTAAAAATACCTCCCCATTGCCAGAATTAATGAAAGTTCTCGCTGCATGAACAGCTGCTTCACAACCTCCCTTAGTCCCGAAACCCAGCTGTTTAGGCTGGAACTGCTCCGTAAGCTTGGGTTTAATATTTTTGCAACATATTTTCGACACTAAGCGTCTCAAAGTTGTACCCACAGCTATAGGTCTAATGTCATCATTATTTTTCATTAAGGCGCACAAATTAGCACCATAAAATACTTCTTTTATGTCCTCCAAAATACCTCCTGATAACATGTGGTTAACCAGAGACACAAGGCTCTCCAACAAAGCTCTTCCAGAATCACCAGTCGTACTAGATATCAAATCTTTCAAATGTTGTGGAGATAACCCATCCAATCCACTTGCAGACCCATTACGAAAGCTCATAATAGCAACTTCAACATCTCTCGCAAGAATTTGTAGCCCAGGGTTTAATTCCTGGGATGGATTTGTTAGTTGTTCCTGAACAGATGCAGTTGGATGCTTGGTTATTAAGGCTTGCAATGTTTCATCATTAAACGGAGCAATGGTCTCATTGGAAAAAATCAGCTGCGCACCGCCTCTTACGTCACCGTCATTTATCTTGGTCTCAATACTCTTAATAATATCAAATTTTGGCCTAGTCCTTCTAATACTTTGATTGTAAAGATTATGTTGGTTTGAAGCAAAAACAATCTCATCAGAACAATTGTTTTTAATTTTCTGTGTAAGCGATATATCACTTTCCTTTTTGTTGTTTACATTGAGAACTTTGTAACTAAAAGTTAAAAGTTGTATCCAACTTAACATATCATTGTTAGAAACCACTTTATCAATGCATTTCCTCAATACTGTAGCCACCGATATCCTGGCCCCCCGTGGAATCCTTTTTATTACTGGAACGTTATTTTTGTTCTGACTCAAAATTTCCCATAGGGGTATGTTATAGTCTGAGTGATCGGAATTTACAGAAATTTCTGATGGATTTATATTGCCATCTACTAAAGGTGAAGATTGAGGTTTATGTACCTTTCCAATATGTATATTTAAACCCCTCTGTCCTCTAAAAAAACGTGGGTGTGCACAACTTGTGCATCGCTCATAACCATCAAATGACATTGTCCCCGCTGCGACATTATGGGAATCCGATACCTGACCTGAAGGGGTCGGCAGTGACATTGAAACCATTAGTCAAATAATGTCATTAAAAAAAAATAACAAATAAATTAATAAACAATTAATTAGACAAATCATAAAATATACAAACATTTCACTTATTCTATTTATAATAATGTCAACCTAATAATTCATACTCACATCTACATATACATATCGCTAGACAGTACAAATACATAAACAATATTCCATTAAAATCCAATTACATTAATAATTCATTATAAATTATTTATATCAGACAACAGCTATTACTATTATTATTAAACAATAAGGCAAAAAAAAGAGAAAAAAAAAAACATATACAAAAAGTGAACTGTATTGGTAATCGAACTCGAGCCGCCGTCGTCATCGCCGTATTTTCAAATATGCTACATAAGTTACACCGTTAAGGAACTACCATTATGTGTGAATTCAGCTATAAGTATTATCATTCGTAATAGATCCGTTAACGATTTTAAATTACTGTTGGATGACGTGCACTTTTAATTTTCCGAATACCCACACCACAATAATTATAAAAACATATTGCAATAGTAACGTATAAAGTCAAATTAGTTTCATATATATACTTATATACACTTATATATACGAGTACACTTACTAGTTATTGCACTTTTACTTTATATATTATAATTATCACTTCACTTCTGTGGTGAAGTTATTATCTGTATGTCTATGCCATCTCGCTACATGTATTTAACAAGTAAATTATAACACAACTTGCTTTTTCTTTCTCGAGTTTAATTTTTCACTCCTCATTATATTATGTATATTATTAATACTGTTTAAGTGTCGATATATTTTTTCTTCTTACCACTTAACTGTCCGTAATAAATATTTCGTCAAGTATTTAAATATTTTGGATAAATAGTATTTCTTAACGAGATAACATACATATATACACATTTATCATCACTTATTCTTTAGTTTATAATCAAAATAATACTTGAAACAGGCGTATTTCATTATTCAATTCATTATTTAATATTACGCTGTACAAAGATGTGTTTACTCGGCAGTGATGCCAACTCTTGTATACATCATCATCCCAGCCATTATCTGTCCGCTGCTGAACATAGGCTAGACTACCATAGACTACCATAAGGAACGGTGCTGAGCCACCTGCATCCACTGACGCCCTGCAATGCATTTGAGCTCGTCACTCCATCCAGTGGTTATTTTATATTACTTCAATATTATTACGAATGAATGAATGAAAACTCTTTATTGTTCACCTCAAGGAATGATATAGTCACATAATAATATGTAAATATACACAAAAACTCTTAATTACGAGAAGCAAATAGTGATCTCTGGCAATAAACCTTAATTGATATCTATTTCCCTCTATATATCTTTTACACTATGTAATAACTTTTGGTCTAAAAATGTTGTTAATTTTTAATTCCAATCCCTTTCTCCGTTAATTTAAAAATAAGAAGACTGACAACTGTTCTGCGACAATAGGATTCCGCTGGAACCTTTTGGCTACAGAAGCTTTGTGGTTGACAATGACATAAAATAAAAAATGTAGCTTAACTTGAGTTTTCAAGAATTATAAAAATAAAATATTTAAAGGGATTTTATTTTCGCCTATAATAGCAAAATATTTAAAATTGCGATGAAGTTGGGAATTGTTGGCACTTGGCGGTTTTCAGAATTCATATTTATAAGATACATTCTTGTACTACTTTCCCTAATATGATGGTTAAAATCATCCTTGATTTCGATGTTTCAAATTATCATCATCATCAAATGGTATTTGAGATTACGCAAAATATTACTCCTGCTTAAAAACCTGTGTAATAATAAATAGGACCAATCGTAACAGGTTATGGGCCCAGCACGTCTAACCCTAGAATATTTGTTGCGATAGATGCGGTACTGCGTGGCTGCGCTGTGGCTGTCGGCGCTCACGACGCTGGCGGTGGCCGCCGGGGACGAGACCCACCACGACGTTACACCACAACAGGTGAGAATTATTTTAAAAAAATTTCAATTACTATTCCCGAAAAATTTCAGTTTCCCTTCTTTCTCTATTGGTTAACGTTGCAGAATTTTGGTGGAGCGTGATAGGCGAGGATATAGTCAACTCAGATGGCCAATGGGCTCAATGTAACCATTGACTATTAACTATTTATTCATCAGGAGTGAATTGCAATGATATTGACGGGGGGGGAGGGGTATCCTTTTTAAAAGGCTGTCAGCGCACTTGTAATGCCTCTGGTGATGCGAGTGATCACGGGCGGCGGCAGTCACTTACCTACAAATGAGCCGCATGCTCGTTTGCCCCCTGTGTTATAAACAAAAAAGGGACCACGTAGACGTAAATTACCAGCAATATAGAACTACTGGTTCACATTACTAGCAAGCCCCAGTCTACGCTATTAGTTTATACACGCGGGGTACCACTGGAAAATGATAAGTAATATTCAAGTCAATTGGCCCATTCATATATAATTTATTTAAAAATATTGTAGGCGCAACATAATTTTAATACATTATACACCTAAAAGGTACTCTACTCTCTTATGAAACAATATAAGTAGATTACAAGTTGAGTGAAAGTGAGCTACCGCGTAGTAGTCACAAGCTCGTTTAAAAACATTTACGAGTATTTGTCGACAAACAACAGCTTACGAAATGCGTATTGTGAACAAAGCGACCGCTGGACGGGCGCGGGCTGGAGGGGCTGCAGCGCAAAAGTGGTAACAAACGGCCAATTTTAAAAAGCCGCTGGAAAACTTAGAAAGCCCTTCTTCACTCGGTCGACCGAAACGGGTGTGTCCTCATTAGAAGCGGTACTGATAGATTCGCTTTCACTGAAACTAGCTATTTATGGTACTGCAACTTCGCGTCACCCGTTGTCTTTCATTAAATCTTTTCTAAGTGAATGTATCATAAAAAGTTATAATGAATATTTTGTTTTTTTTACGATCTAATCAATATAAAACTTTGCACATACTCATATCTTGAGAGTTTTTATAAAATTGTTGACACATCGGTCTCGCCTATTTCTGCAACCAAGCAATTTTACAACTGTATTTTAAATTGATGGACATTATGCTTTCCCGCGCTTGTCGTAAGAGGCGATTAAGGGAAGGCAAAAGATGGGCAGCAGTGTCTTAAAACATTTCCGTAACCTAACTGCGATTGCCAATCTACCTGACAAGCATAGCATCTACTAGAAAAACCCCCCTAGGAAGATATGATAATAATGATAACTTAAGCTCTTCATGTCATAAAGGTTGTAACAGCAAACGTTCATGATCGTGATAGCCGCTCATTTTACTTATATAAAAAAATAACCTGATAGGGCATGCAAGTGTTCGACAAGAGGCTGCGCCCACAGCGCCCTCCGCAACATCTGCACAATTAACATTCTGAGCGGCTGCGGACGCTTTAATAGAATAATAAAACAACTTGTTGCGCTCACTCGCCTGTTAATAATTGTGCCCTGTGATTTTTCTCCCAAACTTCGCATTGTTTCTCTAATTTTCTTCATTGCGCATTCCTAAACGTTGTATTTAAATTGTTGTGCGTTACAGTATAATATTAGAAAACATAAGTTTAGTTTTTAAAACACAAATTCAATGAACTATTTTCAGGATTCGACTTAACAAACTCAATACAAATTATTATTAATATAGTTTATACTTTTACGTTCTTACATTTTGTTTTTATGTTAACAATTACATTAGAAATATGAACAGTAAATAATACCACTTTTTTCAGACTGAAAACGAAGTAGAACTCACAGATGAAGAAAAAAGAGCATGGTCCAGTCTACACGGCGGTTGGGGGAAAAGGGGATGGCAAGATATGAGTTCGGCGTGGGGTAAACGGGCTTGGTCAGATCTAAACTCACCATGGGGAAAAAGAGGGTGGCAAGACCTTAACTCAGCGTGGGGAAAACGTGGCTGGCAGGATCTTAACTCAGCTTGGGGAAAAAGAGGTTGGCAAGATCTGAACTCTGCGTGGGGCAAGCGTGCGTGGAGTGATCTTTCTCAAACACCCTGGGGCAAAAGGGGTTGGAACGACATGAGCTCTGCTTGGGGCAAAAGGGGATGGAACGACATGAGCTCAGCTTGGGGCAAAAGGGGCTGGAACGACATGAGCTCTGCGTGGGGCAAGAGGGGTTGGAATGACATGAGCTCGGCTTGGGGCAAGAGGGGTTGGCAGGACATGAGCTCGGCGTGGGGCAAGCGAGCACCTGTAAGTAATTTTGATACAAATCATAAATTAAAATTATAAATATATATATTAAAAGCCATTCAAAATTTTTAAATTTTTATTAAATAGCTATTCCTGCAACTTTATAACGAATAAACGGAATAATTAGAAAACTCAATAAAATAAAAACAATACAAAATATTAATCAACTAGTTGTTCAAAATACCCCATAACATTCAAAATGCAGTCGAAGTGATTACCACCTCCTATTCAACCGACTTCAAAAAGAGCTAGATTCTCAATTCGATTGTATTTTGTTTTACCAAACAACTCCGTCAGTTCTAAATTGATTTGCAAAATTGTTTTTTATCTGAAAGTATATACTTACAGATTGCTCCTGTAGAAATTTTATTAAAATTGTCACAGGACCAATTTGAGGGCACAATCTTTATTTTTAATGTTTTTCTAATAATAATATAATGAGTCAGGAAGCTTTGGAGCTCTTTTACAAATCCCTTTTTTTTATATACAACTGAGAATAGCAAACAAGCTGACGGCCCACCTGATGGAAAGTGGTAACCGTCGCCTGTAAACATGAGCAGTACCATGGACATAACAGAGTATACTGTTTCGCCTATGATACCCCCCATCCTTATTTATTTGTATTAATGTACAACAGGAAAAATGGGCGAACTTCCACGGCTCGTGGGGTAAGCGGTCCGGCCCTGAGACTGACTACGAGGACATCGATGCGGCCATCGAACAACTGATCCCCATGCAACAGGTACATACATATCTATATTTCATAAGTGTGACAAGAAATCCAATAGTACAGAAGATGAAAAATGTCCAAAAGTCATTAAAGTAGCTCTAGAGGGGGATGCAGTACTTTTTTTTAGAACAGAAATATTTTTTATTAAAATAGACTTGTTTGCAAGCACTTTTAAATCATTTTAGTCATTCTTTAACATTTTACTATTACCCATAGAGAAGAACCCGCAAAGAACTCATCAGTTTCTCTTTTCAATTCGTTTACTTACTTTAATACTATAAAAATATTACTTTTAATATTATAAAAATTTCATACATTACTTATGTAGGTATCGCATTTCGAACCATGACGTTTTTAGCTACTTCCCGTTATCTAAAGGTTGCTTGACACAAATTTCTTTCAGCAATAAACCTACCTATTATTTATCTTTATGTGCAAATGCTAAATTGTTAGAAAAACAATAATAACAATTAGAAGAGCATAAATTACATAAAAATCATTTTACTGTAGTCTTTTTAAGAAAACAATAAAAAGTTACCTATCTACCTGTCCGTCTAATCATTTACGTTGTATACTCCTTTTTGTTCAGTCACTACTTACTATATAGTTTGTTCATTCACAGTCATCATCATCATCATTTCAATCATTATCCGTCCACTGTTGAACACAGGCCTCCCCCATAGTCTACCACAAGAAACGGTCCTGAGCCACCTACATCCACTGACTCCCTGCAATGCATTTGAAGTCGTCACTCCATCTAGTGGGATGTCGTCCAACACTGTATTCGCCCGTACGAAATCGCCACTCAAGAACCTTTCTTGCCTATCGGTTGTCGATTCTTCGAGCTATATGACTAACCGATAGCCATTTCAGCTTGCTTATCCTTCGGGCTATGTCGGTTACTTCGGTTCTCTTGCGGATATCCTCGTTTCGGATTCTATCACGCAGAGAAACTCTGAACATAGCCGTCTCCATTGCCTTTGCATTTATTCACAGTAATGTGAAAAAAATTAAAATTTAAAATCTGATGCCAATTTGAATGTCAAAAGAAACATACCTGTAAAGTTATGGTATACATCGTGTCGCGGTTGCCCCGGGGACTTACCACGTGAAGGTACATGACGTGAGGGCGCGAGGCGCAACAAGCAGCGACGATCCCCGGAGAAATTTAACGTTGTAATGGATATACGAGACGCGTCTCCCATTAGCCAATGAATTTAAAAATATATAATGGCTATTTCGACGTGGTTTGCTTGCTAAAACAAAGTCTGTCTCCATGCGATAGGAATTAAAATAATTTATAGTAATTTCTTTTTTTTTTGAGTGAAAATGAATGGAACGCTAGCGGAGCACCAGTGAAGGGTGATAGATGAGAATGAAAACAGGCCAGTTAGCCCATCATGATGAATTCATCAGGAATTAACCGTGATAGTTTCCAGAGGGAACCGCGAGGAGATCGACCTGGTTGGGTATATTGCTAGCAATGGGATTCTCAATCTCCATCACTACAATCACAATCCCTTTCCCCCAATTTATAGTAAATTATCCCTATATATAAATGGCCGTATGGTCCCGGCATAGAATAGGCCCCTTTCCTTTCCCGTGGGTGTCGTAAAAGGCGACCAAGGGTAAACGAGGTTCCTGGTTCCTCATAACCTCATATCCTAGTATGAGATCTAGGCAATTGCTGTGATTCATCATCATCATTAACTGTTCACTGCTCAACATAAGCCTCCCCCATAAGGGGAGTTTTGCCAGTAGTTGCCACGCTTAGCAGGTGGGTTGGCAACCGCAGTTAGACTTTTAGAGATGTTTTAAGAGGGACGCTGCTACCTATCCCTCTACCCTTAAGTTCCCTTAGTCGCTACTTACGACACCCACAGGAAAGAAGGGGCCTATTCTATACCAGGACCACACGGCCAATTGCTGTGATTGGGTATCACTTATTTCAGTTAAATATTATAAACCTGTAATTACGGTGTAAAAAAAATAAGTAATTAAATAGTTAAGTCGTTTTTTTGGCGCCGCGCCAACAATCTAAACCTGTCTCTTAACGTAATAATTTAAACTAAGAGTTACGCGTGTTCGGAAAACTACGCCACAGCTACCAGAGGGAGACTTTGTACAAAAGTCGATTGCTTGGGTACCTCTGTCCCATTCGTGTTTCAACCGTGAAGCAGCTGTGTTTGCATGGCTGTGTTACGGTTTGAAGGGTGGGATATGGCGTGAATTTACTGGGTACAGAGGAATAACACCTAAGTTTTCAGGAATGTCAACGCATGGGGGGTATCATGGGTGAAACAGTATACTCTGTCATGTCCATGGTACTGCTCATGTCTATAGGCGACGGTTACCACTTTCCATCAGGTGGGCCGTCAGCTTGTTTGCCATTCTAAGTTGTATAAAAAAAAAAACTTTTCATCCAAAATACCTTAGAGTTTGAACACTAAGATCTTTAACCAGTGCGTGTTGCCAGTGATGACTTATGGAAACGAAACATGGTCCTACACGATTGACCGTATGCAAAAGCTTCAAATAACTCAGCGGGCAATGGAGAGGGTTATGCTCGGAGTCTCTTTGCATGATAGAATCCGAAACGAGGATATCCGCAAAAGAACCGAAGTAACCGACATAGCCCGAAGGATAAGCAAGCTGCAGTGGCAATGGGCTGGTCACATAGCTCGAGAAACCAACAACCGATGGGAAAAAAACGGTTCTTGGGTGACGACCCCATATGCGCAAATGCAATGTAGGACGACACCAAAATAGATGGAGTGACAACCTTAAATGCATTGCAGGGAGTCAGTGCAGGGATGCAGATGGTTCAGGACCGTTTCCTATGGCAGTCTATGGAGACAGCCCATGTCCAGCAGTGGACGGATAATGGCTGAAATCGTAATGATGAATGATGAATAGTTACGCGAAATTACTATTTATTGACCGACTTTAAAAACAGATGGAAATTCCTTATTCGGTGGCATTTTTTATGTTTGTTACCTCAAACTCCGTCAGTTATTCACTAATTTGGAAAATTCTTTTTTTATGTAAAAAAAATATACTTTCATATAGTTCTCATAGCAATTTTATCAAAATTATATTAGTAGTTTAGTTTTTAAAACAAGATAACTGTTTTTTTTTTATGAGAACGGATTTTGCCATTAATTTTTATTTTATTTTATTGCAATAAAGTAGTTTTTTTTATGAAACCCAATCTTAAATTATGGACCATTGTAAACTAAATTTATAACAATTTTCACTTAAATCTATTAAACATTTAATTTATATTGCTCCTTAGAATAATAATTTCACTATAATATCAAACTGAAATTTTAATTTTAGAAATAGCTTTAAAGGAATGACGCCTCAGCTTCGACCCGAGTGTTATGTCCTGAGAGAATAACAATATAATGTATCACCACTCTTTTTTATCCTCTGAAAGTCATAAGAAACGACTCGGGGCCAAATTTGAATAATAAATAATCTTACTAATATAATATTGTAACTAAACAATGTCTGGACATGGAAGGTATTTCAAGAAAATTTTTTGTGCTACTAATGAATAGAATACAAAGGCACAACCTACATTCAACCATAGCCCTCGCAGTGTCTCGCAATGATGAGTAATGGGAGACACAATACATCTTGTGATATCTATAATGTTGAATAACCTATAACATTTCTAAAGAAAGATCTATCTGATACAAAAAGAATTTTTCAAATCTACAACTGTTTACCATTCTAAGTTGCATAAAAAAAACTACCTTAATAAATCTGGAACTACCACACGGTAGTTCTAGAGATTAGCGCTTCCAAACAAACAAATTTACTTTGTATATTAGTATAAATATTATTAAATATTTATAAAATGTACACGTAAAGTTACAAATTTCTCCAATGACGTTAACACCTACAAATAAATTACATTTATAACGATAACGCTGGCACCAAAAGCAACTTTTAAGAATATACTTCTAACTTGATTTATTTATAGGAAACAGTGACTCGAATTATTATGTATTATCTAATTAATACATTAAAAATTACATTTATTGTTTTTTTTTTTGGATAATAATGGAATGGTAACCCCGCCCGCGCTAACGGTATACGCTGGCGGGGCACCAGTAAGGAATGATAAGTGAGAATGAAAAAGCAGGTTAGTTAGCCCATCGTGATGATGGTTTCCAGGGAGGACCACATGGAGGTCGACCTGACAGGGTACAGAGCCAACGACTTGCGTGACCGAAATAGAAATTCATTAATAATATAACGGCTAATATTTATTAAGAACGAGAGAGACACTTGAGATTTTGTGTTTAAACTCTTTAAATTAATCTAATAAAAAACCGACTTCAACTTTAATTTAATTTAAGATTTAGCTTCACAAAATAAAAATTACTTCAATCTTGAGAAAAATTGTATGAAATTACCAAAAAACTAAAAGCTAAAGACTTTATACGAAGGTCGTCTACTTGGGCACATCTATCGAGAGTATTTCTGCCGCCAAGCACAGCTGTGTGTGCCTGCATAGCAATGTTTAGATTTGAAAATTGGAAGAAGGGTTTATGACAGTAAAATGACAAACTATACGGGCATAACATAGTGAAGTTGAGGGGAAAAGAAACTGTTAGTAAGAAGGTTTAGTAGCCCTTTGCTAACACTACATTCTGTTAAGTCGACATCCTCGCAGTTTCCTCTGATAACCATCGTGCTAGTTCAGAGCGAATTCATCAGGATAATCTAACTAACCGGCCTTTTCATCCTCACCTATCATCTCTCACTGGTGCCTCGACAGCGTATATCGATAGCGCAGGCGGGGACACAATTCCAATATCATCCATTAAAAAAAAACACACACACACAATACACATAAAAAATGTATTAATAGTTGTAGCACTTCAGCTGCCCGCTAACGAAATGCTTTCTTACTGTACTGGGTTGACTGGAAAAGATCTCTGTCAGAGATAAGTCCACCCTTGCTCACAACATTTATAAATAGATTATTTTATATGTAACTTACAAGTGCAATAAAGAATATATATATATATATATATATATATATATATATATATATAGTTCATTTTTGGCGATTGAAAATAAAAGATAATTATGTTACGATATTGGTTCTTGCGTTTACAGTGTTTGTTGTGTTATCGAAAGATAATTGATTTAATATCTACAACGACTCTGCGGCTTCTGTTTATATTCTATCTGCGGTTACACTAACAAGATAAGTGAAACAACACCGTCGACAAACGATTATTGTATATTTCCAAATAAAAAGCTTGAGTTGATCTTTAACGTTTAATTCATTTGTTTATATGCGCATCCCTGGTGCGCAGAGTACGTGCCAGCGCCAACAGCATCCTGAGTATGATAGCGAGCAGGCTGCACTGTGTATACGTTAATCGCTGCTGCACAATTTCCAATAGAATTGTACAGCGGTGATTATCTGTATACTATTTAATATATTATATATGTGTGTGTACGTGTGTGTGTGTGTGTGTGTGTGTGTGTGTGTGTGTGTGTGTGTGTGTGTGTGTGTGTGTGTGTGTGTGTGTGTGTGTGTGTGTGTGTGTGTGTGTGTGTATTGTGTGTGTATTGTGTGTGTAAATTTACTCAAATTTAATTTTAATAATATTGTTACTAATAAATATTTAATTGACCAAAAAATTCAGAAATAAAAATTATTATTATTCCAATAATTCACAGCTCACACACATTATTATTATTATTATTAAGTATAAGTGTTGTTCAGTTTATTATTTAAACGACGCATATGGCCTTCACAGACTAGAGTCAATGTCCGAAAACAAAAAAACTTTGTTTTTGCTCCTCTTTCAAGACTTTTCAAATTCAAATCCATCGAGACTGAGTCTTCGATAAATTTTTGTCTGGACATAATATAGAAATAAAATTAAAAAAGAAATTGTTTACTACAACGCACACGACTTGCTCAAGTATACGGCTGTCCATTGGCTGCACAGGTCTTAATATTTATGACAAAAAACTTCATAATTCATAACATCGTTACTGTATTGTCGTATTATTTGTATCTGGTTAAAAATGGGAGGTGCCGAAGTATCAGAAAATACCTGAAAATCATTATTATTATTAACTAAATCTACATTTACACTAATATTTTAAAGAGGAAAGATTTGTGTTTTTGTATGTATGTATGTTTGTAATGAATAAACTCAAAAACTACTTTGCCGGGGAAAGGGATTGTTAGTAATGGAGACTGAGAATCCCATTGCTAGCAATATACCCAACCAGGTCGACGTCCTCGCGGTTCTCCCTGGAAACTATCATGGTTAATTCCTGATGAATTCATCATGATGAGCTAACTGGCCTGTTTTCATTCGCTTTTCTCCGCCAGCGCCGCCATACCATTTTCACCCATAAAAAAACCATCTAGTATAACTCAATCTTAAGAAAATTCGACACGATCTTACAGCCGTGAGACTCAATGTTCTTATTTATTAATTTCACCTAATAGGCCACCCCTTCCTTTCCCGCGGGTGTCGTAAGAGGCGACTAAGAAAACATTATTAAGAGATGGGCAGCAGCGACCATCTTAAAATATCTCCAAAGCCTAACTGCGGTTGCCAATCCATCTGCCATGCGTGGCTACAACTGGCGAAAACCCCCAATGGGGGAGGCTTATGTTCAGAATGGGACAATTAAAGACTGATATGATAATGTCGATGTATATTAAACTATAACTTGGAATCTATATATCCTATTTAAGAGCTGCGCTCTTGTCGGTGGAGCTCTTGCCACTCACTACGATTTTCAGCGAGTCTCTTCACCTCTTGATACGACACAACACCAACTCCTTCCTTGATCTGCCTGATGTAACTATGCCTCGATCTCTCTCTTCCCCTCCTTCCTTCTATCCTAATTCTATTATAGTGTTCATAATTTCGTCGTGTCATATCAAGTGTCCTAACATTTTTCCCCTTCTGTCCTCGATAGTTCTAATAATTTGTCTCTTTTCCTTAACCCTAAGCAGGACCTCCTCATTGCTAATCCGATCTCTCCAGCTAATTTTCTCCATCCTTCTCCAGCAACACGTTTCAAAGGCTCTAAGTTTATCTATTTCCTTCTAAGTTAATGTCCACGTCTCACATCCATACAAAGCTATACTCCAGATATAGGTTTTGATAAGCCGCTTTCTAATATCTCTTGTTATCTTAGCCAGTAAAAGGTGTTTTTTGTTATTGAAGGCTTGTTTGGCCATGGCTATTCTCCTGACTACGTCTGGAGTACATATATTAAATAACATCTTATTTTAATCAACAGCTGGAAAACATCGAGAGAACAGCAATAGAAACACCAGAGAAGAAGGCGTGGCAAGCGTTACACGGCGCGTGGGGCAAGCGGCCTGTCAAGCAGAACCAGTTCAACAGCGGTAATGGAACGGCCACTAACATCTTTGTTCATTATAGCGACACTAACCGTGACATAGTCTACTACTTTCCCGTGTAGTTCCTCCTTAGTTACTAGTACAATTACTTAGTTTGGTGTTCTCAAAAGCTTATTTTTTTAGCAGCAGGTTTTGTGTATAGGAGAAATTAAATCTGTAATTTACTGTTAATGTTATTAGTTGAACGGCACCGGACAAATGATTAACGAATCGATCAATGGAATCGTTTCGGTTAGTGATCGCATGAGAAAAAACAAGGAAGACACCGGACTTACCTATCCCATTTTATCTCGTGGACTCAACAGCCATAACGGTCCTATCGATAGATTTAATTACCACTTGTCTAAGGGTGTTTGATGGAACTCTTTTGCATTATATGGGAGTAAGATTTTGAAGTCGGTCACGTATATTCACATTTATTAAATAATAAAAACATTTCATGAAAAAAAAAATAGAAATGAGTAGTATAAAATAGGAAAATGGATTGTAACTTATAAAAAATTAACAGAGATTTCGAAGCAAAGACTAGTCTATGCTTTATGTCTAACTTTGAGAACTTTGGTTCCATTTAGATAAGTAATAATTTTAATATAAGTCTTGAATTATGGATAACGAGCTGCGAAGTTCTCTCCAGGTCAGACTCTTATTGAATTGTAAGGAAACTTAGGCGGTTAGCTAATAAAGCAGCAGCACCGCTGCGAAGACAATAGATAGCTATTTGGCAAACTACCAAATAGACTTTTGTGTGATCATTTTTGGCGAACTATACGTATGCCACGAGCAAACACGAGCAATTAAAAGTAAATGTAATCAAAATGAAAAACATTTGGATTTATTGAAATATAAAAATTAAGGGGTTTATATGACCATAACCATGACGAATTAAGCGAAATGTCTCATATTGCATTGAACACCGAACTTCAGAACTTGTCATGATGTGAAGGTCATCGCACCGCTCGCTTTCCATAGAGAATCCATCTCCACACTCAAGAATGGATGTTTAAAGTAGTTTCTAGCTACTTTTAAACATTCTGCAAAAATGATATAATAATGTTTCTTCATAGTCTGGAACACATAGCTGATGTTGCAGGCACCATGGCTTACTGTTTCCGTTTACCATCAAACAATTATAAAAAAATTCTTTAATTAAAATTTAAAACTATTAGTTTCATCCAGAGTCAAAACTCGTCTTAAACTAGAATCTCACTGAAGTCTTTTTTTGTAATAACGTAAAAAAATAACCTTATTGTCAGCTTTACAAAATATAGAAAGTCCCTAATTAATATGATGAAGTATTAAGTGTGTTCATCACTCACGCAGAGTACGATCGCTTCCCAATTCTCGGCGCCCCAACCGCCTGACAGCAATAAATGGAAATTTCCATAAAACTTTATCAATAAACCTTTCTTTAAAAATTACTTTTGGATTGCGGACTTTGTGGAGCAATTACTTGCTTCTCATTGAAGAAACCGCATTAAACTGATTAATTTATTTACATTTATAATAGCACTTTGCTATATCTTTTAAATTAATTTTCTCAAGACAATTATTAATTTAGACTTTAAAAGAACAGATAATTTTATTATATAAGTAAACTAGCACTATATAACTTTATAACTCTGCACCTAACTGATATTGGCCGAGTTTTTTTTTTTTTTAGATAGAGACAAAGTAATGCAATATAATGCGATCAAACAAAATAGATACGTTACAAAACAGGGCTATTACTTATGCTGTAATAAAATTCCAGTATCAATACATATTAAGTTTAATATAATAATATTTTTTCTCTCTCTTTCCCCTTACTATAATGTAATGTTTTTAACTTTAAAAATTTTATAATGTTTTTGTTTATATGTATACGTCTCTTATTCACCTGCAGATAGCGCTGTGGGTTTCATAATAATGAAGGATTAGTCTTACGATTAGTATTGTAGTATATAAAACTTATTGTGACAACTGTTTGTTATCCCAAATAAAGAAAATAATAAATAAAATAAAATAGGCAGATATTTGAGTAAAATTTTCACACACTGCCAAAAAAATATACGGAAAATAATTACCGTGCAAGATATCGTGATGAAGTAAAAAGATATCACGTTAAAATATAGCCAGAGAGCCATCAAATAAACGTTGCAGAGTCGGCCGCCTCCGAATTAGATAATAACTCTCGGTCGGCTGCTTTTTAAATTAAATATCCCAGTCAATATGCCGCGGCGTGATTCTCATTTACAAGCGTTCCTCCCAGCTATGGCCGGACTCGCTTAATATCGCCATAAACGATGCGACCGATCCAAACTTTGAACGCTGCCATTTTGAAATGTTTATTCCTTGTTGTTGTAATGCGTAGAATATATTGCTATTTAATAATTTCAACATCATGTACACATGATTAATTAATAATAATGGACCATTTTTGACGATTCTAAATTTTTATATTATATTTTTAACGCGACGATAACGATCGTAGATACTCGTAATGTTCTTGATCCATGATAATGAACATCGCTGGAAAGTCCAGCATTATTTTTTATACTATGTATGTATAATACATACATTATACATAATGCAAGTGCATTAGGGATAAGTGGAATTGACTACCATTTTATCGGCGTTTTCAAATATCCTCGTGATTTATTTGAGTCATGAAATTTTCTTGTTTGCGATTATGGTAGACGACGATTTCTTTTTCCATTAAAAGGATCGTTAACTTATTTATCAATAAAATAAAGTATATATTTCAATTCCACTATCGTTAATGAATTTAGATTTACCACATTCCGCTGTTTTAATCTCTAAACTACATGAACTTAATTTCAGAAATTTCTTAACAATCGTTTTGTAAAATTAAACGTAATTAAAAATATTTCCATCCATCTAAATTCTCACGTGTTAGTAAGCCTACTTCCATTTAATTGCATATACATTTATAAAGATTATTATTATTAACTAAAATATACCAAAAAACAGATGTATGTGTATGTAAATATAAATTCGTTTATATACATACTTTTACATTCATATACAACCTTTTTTTCGTCACAAATAAATTCTCTGGTCCATAAGAATGAAGCATGTCTGAACACCTTTTAAACTTTAATCCAATGTATATTCATCAATTGCAATAATTATAAACATTAGGATGAAAAATCTAATAGTTAATTATTAATTTTATTAAAGTTAAATTGTTCTTCCTAATGAAATTAGAAGAGTGCAATGAACGCTCATAAAGAAGTGTATGAACCTACAGGAGCATATTACTTCAAGAGGGAACCCGGCTGGACGAACCTAAGAGGGATGTGGGGCAAGAGATCAGCACAAGCCTCAGATGTAACGGTCGACGAAGACAATGGTAACCAACTACGCTCGCGCAACACCTCCACGCCTCTTCACCACTCACTACATCCATGTTATTCGTATATGAACACAGCTAACTAGCGCCATCTCTCTCTCACACACTGGTTCCTTATACCTATCACCTCTATCTTCTGTCACATTCTAGTCTTGTTTGGATGTTATTAGAATAGTTGTAGAACTTGTGTCTTCATGTATGTAGTCTCTTTTCTTCTTCTTCTCTTTCTCTATCTGTTACAAGAATATGTTTCATCTATTATGTTTCTATTTTAAATATAATATTATAATGGTAATGAAGGTGATATTTGGATGTTATGTATATAGTTAGTATTGCTGTACATTACATTTCATTAGGTACTGCTACTGACTTAATACGTATAGTATATACGTATGATCTTTCTACATATCAACATAATCAAACATCTGTTTCGAAGTCTTATTATTCTATATATGTAAATTAATTAAAAACGTATTACATTGTTTGTGTCTTGTTTAAGCAAGGAACCAATTGTTGATCAATCGCATAGACGAGGTTGCCATTTAATTTTCAACAATTAAATAGTTTTTTTTTTTTTTTTTATGGGTGAAAATGGTATGGTAACCCCGCCTGCGCTAACGGGATACGCTGGCGGAGCACCAGTGAAGGGTGATAGATGAGAATGAAAACAGGCCAGTTAGCCCGTCATGATGAATTCATCAGGAATTAACCATGAGTTTCCAGGGGGAACCGCGAGGAGGTCGACCTGGTTGGGTATATTACTAGCAATGGGATTCTCAGTCTGCATTACTAACAATCCCTTTCCGCCCACAATTAAGTAGTTTGATAAATCCTGTTAGTTCACCTAAAATTAAAATACCTACCTTCATCGGCTCTACATGGGCCTGTAACTGATATTGTGAGGTTTTTTAATGTTATTAAATTTGAATAGGAATCCTCTAAAATAACACCTAAATTATGACGTGATGACAACAAAATGGGTAAATGATGTCAAATAACCCTGGCTAATATTGCCATTACGGCGCACAGCACCGGTCGTATACAGATATCGTTATCTGGATTCCCATTTATGTGTTGTTAAATTCATGAGCCCAAATTACTCGATACATTTTTTATTATATATTTTCATTAAAAGTAGGTACATTTTAAATTATATTAATGTCACGTTTAATTTTGAAAATGTACAGCCAATGTTTCTACTTTGCCAATATTATTTTTTTCCTCTAATACAAAATTAAGACTTTACGAAAATTATAGTAAAACTAAATATAAATTCGAGATAAAATTTTGATATCGTAAAAAAATTACAGTAAGTACATAACTAACAGGTACATTCCATGAAAAAAAATTGAACACAAATGGTTTTATTATGTCGAAATTGTTTAAGGAAGGAAACATTTTACTAAAAAAAATCCGTTACAAATCTACATTTGTTACTTAAATTTTGTTGATAAAACACAACAGAAATGCAGACAAAACGCTCAGAAGTCTTTAAACAGTACAATTTATCATTTATAAAGTAAAAAAAAAAGAGTTCGTAAAACTCTTTTGAATTGTAATTTATCAAATGAAAAGTATTCGATTCCGGCCCGCGATACGTAACGGATAAATTTTGAAATTAAAGCGTGCACAATTTATCGACAAAACAATATTGTTAATCTTTTAATGGCTCGTTTCATTAATATTACCTAATCAGTACGGTATACTGAAGTATTGGATGAGGCGGACGGTAATTTCTTTGCAAGTGATCGTTTAATCTCGCCTTAGAGGATGATTACAGACAAAGTACATTGTTCGTTTATGATTAATTGGCTAATCATTTCCCAATATACAATTTATTGATTACATTAATCGAATACTTCAAACGTAAAGCGAAAAGCACTCAGAGAGCCGACATAATAATAATAATAATAATAATTAATAATTTATATTACAGATAATTGTAACCCATATTTGTTAGTAACAATCGACTGAAAACTATCTTAGTAAAACCGATAAGTGTTAAACATTATCTTTTCGGTTGATTAAATTTATGAGCCGTATTGTCCCTGTGTCCGCTAAGTTATACCAACGTGTTATTAATATAATATACAAGCGTATATATGAGTATATATACTGTTGCTTTTTGAAATTATGTAATAAATAATATAATTTGGGAACACTTCTAAAACAGACCGACGGGACGAAGGTTGTTGACAAAACAATGCTGAATTAAACCCGAAAAGACTTTATGTAACAAAATGGGATATAACCACCGAAGAATATTTTATGAAACGTTTAGCTTACATGCAATAATATTTAAGCTATTCATATTTCAAATAATTCAAAACAGACGATATAAAAGTTGTAAGTTATAATGATCAAGACATGGGACATATTTTCGAAGCGTCAACCACGTCACTCAATAGTAGTGTAATACATGTTTCAAAAATATACTTAAAACAATAATCATGTGGTCTAATTATTAAAATAATTTTGTAAAACTACTTACTACTACCTATATTACAATTATATAAATGTTTTTGTTTTAACTGTGCAAGTCTCATGTACTAACAACAACGTTTTCCTGTCCACAGAGAGCAGCCCCGCGAGAGACGACGCCTAGACCACTGGCAACCCTGTAATATAATAACATAGCAACACCACCATATCTTAAACGACTGTCTGTCCATTTAACTTTCCACTAATTAACTTTCGAACCTAACCTAACGTTAATTCGTTTCGTTTCCAACCAACGGAGCGAATTACAATAGTTCTAAACGGTATGTGTTCCTACTATTTTTGTTTACCAATCAAATCATATACCAACTGCATCTTGAGATGACCTTATTCTTGTTTTCACACTTAAAACTCACGTACAAATACAATTGTTAACCTATGTCACCTTCTAGAGTAAAATTTTATCGAAGTTTAGTATAAGTAATTAATTTTTACAATATTTGATATGTATAACATAGTTATGTGCGACAGGTGTAACTATATGTAATGCTAGTTAGTCAAATTAATTGGTAAAATAAATTAATTGTATTTTATTAGTAATGTTGATGTAAATTGTAACAGAGGCCACAGGTCCACGTTTGTCCAATAAAAGTTTATTCGGAAGCCGAATTGTGTTTTATTTATTCATAGTCATCACCCAATAGACGTATATCCCGATGTTGTACCTACAATCGCCGTGTGAGTTCTGGCATACAATAGGCCACCCCTTCTTTTCCGTAAGTGTCGAAAGAGGCCACTAAGGAAATTAGTTAGTCGAGAGATGAGCAACAGCATCCCTCTTAAAACATCTCTAAAGCCTAACTGCGGTTGCCAATCCGCCTGCCAAGCGTGGCAACTTCTGACAAAACTCCCCTTGTGGAGGAGACCTACGTTCAGCAGTGGACAGTTAACGGCTGAAATAATAATACCTACAATGATTACTTGCAGAAAATTTATAATTTCACCATAAAAAGACTATATAAACCTGATATTTACATCATCAACCTTGGAATGGCAAACCTGACGATCCGTCTGATGTAAAGTGATACCTGTAGCATAGACATGAACAGCATCACGAAGTCCATGGCGTGGTTTATGGCACGAACATCGCATACTAATATATTGTCATTCCTGAAAACTAACATATTATGTAAAGACATACTCGTAAACTATATACCATGTAATTTCACAACCATAAGAAGCGAGGCATAGCCATGCAAATGACTCTTTTGTCATTCATAATCCGAATATTACTATAATTAATTAAATATTAAATTGACAAAAAGTGAACACTATAGTTAATCTCGTCATGAGACCAATGGTTAATGATTTTGTGCAATTATATCGAGTCACAAAATTTAGATACATAATACACTAAAAAGATATTTTTCTAAAAAATAATGAAAATGAAATGAAAGGAATTTATTTGTGCGTTTAAACAGCGAGGTGAACTACAATGGCACAGCCATGTGGAATTATTTTTGGCAACTATTTCATTTTTTTATTTATTATAATGTATTCATGTACATAATATAGAATAATTTAGTGGCCTTATAGATAAGTAGGCGTGCAAATAGTGATTTTAAAATTGAAATTAATTACATATCTTCATTACAGATCATTATGTGAAAGCGACAAGGTGATAAACTCTTTCAATTGAAAAAAAAATATTCAAAATCAATTAACATTTAAATAAAATATCGTAGTGCATGCACGACACGCATATAAATCTACAAACGATTCACAGTCCAATAGAGACCTTCACTTTTTAAATCGTTTCAAACTATATAACACGAGTAAATAAGTAAAACCTCACCCCACACACAGTCTGTGGAGGAATGCTCGCTTGTAAAGCGACTGTGCTATCACATGAAAAGGTGGAAACATACGATTTATTTACTATTCTACATTAATATTCTATATTTGTACACAACTAGAATGCCATTTACAGCAATTTGTTAAACGCCAAGTGAAAGACAAGCCAGCCAGTCAGCCAGCCAATCGTGCAAAGCTAGACGACGCCGACGTGAAATATTGGACTGTCAATCACTTGCAATCTCCCGTATCTATTTTATTTATCAGATTTCATTCGCTTTAATATCACTTCGAAATGCTTTACAGTTTTATAAATAACAAGATTAGTTTTATATAACTGTAACAAGCAAGCATACGGCCCGGCTGATGGGGAACACTTACCGGTCTACGAACATGTGCAACAACGACAGTAAATATTACGTGTGCGTTGTTGATCCTGAAGAAAGCTTTTACTCGATACAGAGGTCATACTATAGTCATAGGCGAAACAGTATACTCTGTTATGTCCATGGTACTGCTCAAGTCTATAGGTGACAGTTACCATTTTCCATAAGGTGGGCCGTCAGCTTGTTTGCCATTCTAAGTTGTACAAAAAAAAGAACGATCAAGAAAAGAAACTACTTTAAAATTACCCTATACACGTCTGTAATTCATCCTCATGTCTTTAAACGAATATTTAAAGGGAAAGAATAATACCAGTCGTTAACTGTCCACTGCTGGACATAAGCCTTTCCCATAAGGAGAATTTTGCCAGCAGTTGCCTCGCTTAGCAAGCGGATTTGCAACAGCAGTTAAGAATTTAGTGAAATTTTAAAAGGGATACTGCTTCCCATCCCTCTGCCATTATGTTCCCTAAGTCGCCTCTTACAACATTGACGGACATTGTAGGGGTGGCCCATTCTATTCCGGGACCACACGGCGGTGATAATAATAATAAGGCCTTAATTAATTTAAATATTTATAAAAGACACACCAACAATATGCTCACAACAATTAAGCAGACAATGTACAATGATATAAGTAAGTAGAAAGTGAAAAACTACTATTAAAAAATGCTTAAATCTAAGTTTATTTGAACAAAAACATCTCACTCCTCACCACCAAGCTTAAGGCTATATGAACACATCAATTAAAGGTGTATACAGCTCTCACAGATAAGCGTCAATGCTAAGTAACAGTTATACAATTAGAGAAGACCTAATTACCAATCCATATTATTAATAAGCCTAGTAAACTGCACTAAAGAATTACCAAAGATGTCGATATCATGGTCAACGTTTACGGCTTTATTATAGGATGATAACATTCTGTTGAGGGAAGAATTGGATCCTAAGTTAGTGCGACAAGCGTATGTTGAAAATGTGTTAACCATTTTAGCAGTTCTAATATTGAAATTCCTTATCAATGACGATCAGTGGGATGATTGGATGGAATCGATGTTTTTTTTTTAATGGATGATAATGGAATGGTACCCCACCTGCGCTATCGGTATAAACCGGCGGGGCACCAGTGACGGATGATAGATAAGGATGAAGCAGATCAGTTAGCCCATCGTGACAAATTCAACAAGAACTGTTCACAATGGTTTCCAGGGGGAACCACTTGGAGGTCGACCTAATTGGGCATATTGCTAGCAATGGGGCTGTCAAACTTCATTGCTAACAATCCCTTTCTTTCCGATGTAATGGATATTGGAATGGATATCATGTCAAACAATTGTTGAATATTTGACGAAGATACATTAATTAACATTAAAAATTAACATGTTAATGGCGAGGTTCAGAAATTTTGGAAAACTCGGATTGAAAATTCACAAAAAGTTTGTACCTCTGAGAGGCAAATTGTTCAGTTCAGTTGTATGAGACTGTATAATGTAATACCAAAAAGAATAAAAGAATTAGGTCTCCATCGATTTAAATGAACCTTGTCGAAGTGACTCGAGCAAAAGTGAAAAAATTTATTGAGCACAAACGTGATCATATTTAGTATACCATATTTGATGTGAATGTAGTGCCAGCGCCGACAGCATCCTGAGCATGATAGCAAGCAGGCTGCACTGTGTGTACGTTAACCACTGCTGCGCAATTTCCAATAGAATTGTACAGCGGTGATTATCTGTATACTATTTAATAAATTATGTATGTGTCCATTCCTAAAGACATGTTATTCCTCTGTACCCAGTAAATTCACGCCGTATCCCACCCTTCAAACCGAAACACAGCCATGAAAACACAACTGCTTCACGGTTGAAACACGAATGGGACATAGGTACCCAAGCAATCGACTTTTGTACAAAGTCTCCCTCTGGTTGATAATAACTAGTTGATACTAGAAAAAAAGTAAAAAAAGAAAATAAAAAATGTCCACCATAATGATTTTGTTTTCACTTTCACGTTCTATGTCCAGGACATCTTATAAAGTACTTGCAACAGTGTGTCCGTGATGTTTAAAATCAGTTACCACTACGAGTAAATATAAATGTAATGTAGCAAGTACATTTCCATTATGTGATATATAGAAGGCACATACTTCGGTTTTTTTATTACCAGATACAATTACTGAAATGAACTCACACTCTCGAATTACGTCACTTGTCACTAGCGACATAATGGTCCCATACTATTCTGATAGATGCATATTGGTGCAACTTGCCAATGCAGACTATTGTAAACCGATCCTAATTATAGCTAATTCCTAACTGTTACAGGGGGGGAAAGGGATTGTTAGTAATGGGGTCAAATAGCCCTATTACTAGCAATATACCCTGTCAGATCGACCACCACGTAGTTCCCCCTGGAAACCATCGTGACTAATTCTAGTTTAATTCGTCAGGATGGGCTAACTGACCTACTTTCATATTCATCTGTCATTCTTCACTGGTGCCCCGCCAGTGTATACCAATAACGCAAACGGGGTTACCATACCATTATCACCCATTAAAAAAAATAAAAAAAACTGTTGTTACACGAGTGCAGTGTTAAATTGTCATTAGCAATAGATTTGGATTGAGATCAATGTTGGGTTCAAGAGTTATCCTACTGTTTGTTTGTTTGTTTGTTTATTTATTATTATTATAATTTAATTGCTTTCTATTTGTATACAATTATTATTTTCTTTTGTTTGTTTTGTTTTGATTTCTTTTGTTCTTGTTTTGTGCGCTACTGTGTGGGCCGCGTGCTTCTTCGATTAAATTATTTCTTTCTTTCAATTACATATTTACTAGAATTATATACCAAACCATGCTTTTTCGCAATTCCTATGCATTCACATATTTACTTCACAATGCCTATAGCGCGACTACTTAGTACGTGTGAAAAGATAGGATTGGATAACAAATGTATCGAAGAAAAACTTGAAGATAAAGGGCAGCAACAGTATAAACAGTGGACTTTATTTTATAACTAGTTAACTTTGCAGTGCAGCGCAGTGTTCAAGTTCACTTCACAATTTCTTTAAATTGCATTTTACTTAAACTTCTTTTCTTTTATATACTCTTGCATTGCATTAATTGGAAACAATATTTAGTCCACCTTTTACCTAGTTTTTTTTGTGAAGTAAGCAATAAGAACAAAGCGTCTAAAATCCTTAACTTTAGTTATATACATACATATGTATATACATACAATCTAGTTCCAAAATTGTACTAATTGCAGTTGCAAAAGAAGTAACAGTTTACCTGACGCAAAGTAGTAACATTCACGTATAGATATAAATAATGAACAATACTAGGTATATCACAGAATAGACAGTATCGTCCATGTCAGCTAGTGCGTTTTTTTAGGGTTCAAAGACCGTCAGCGACCTTCGCT